AGAAACATGCAATATCCAAACAATTCCCAAGAAGAAACAAAATATGACAGTTTCATGTCAACTGAAATCTCAGAACAATAGTAGGCCAAGGCACTGGTAGGCTGCAGGGCAAACCAAACCAGCCTAGTAGCCAGTGACAGCCAGGTTAAGACAAGAGTAGAGTCAGGAACTTATTCCAAACCTAAGCTAACTAAATGTATGGATTAATTATTGGTCCTGTTCTAAAAATCTCATCCATTTAGAGTTCCAAATTAACAATAATTTCCTCAGAAACACCTTGAATACCTCAGAAATTAAGCCACCTGCTCAGGGATCTTCTTGTCTAGAAGTAATGTGAACCTAAAGCAGACTCTCTGTGGCAGTACCCAAGAAACCTTTACAACCTGAAGAAATCAGAGATGGACCCCACCAACCTCTGAGTAAGGCTATAGAAAAAAAGAAGACTTGCGCATGCCAAACAGAACCAAATCCAGATGCACATTACAAAACTAAAAGAACAAGAACTACACATCCATATGATCCAAATCATGAGGCTGGAAGAAGCTGCAAGTAGATTAGAACAGTGTAGGCAAAACCTTCATTCCTAGACTAAGACAATAAAAGTCTTGGAGTCCTCTTCCTCTTCCCTCTTTATATGTATAATTTTTTCCTACTACTTTTACTCTGTGGCTTTCCTTGCCATTTAAACACTGTTTCATTCCCATTTTATATTTGAGTTATTTTAAAATTCCTTCCCTCTGTTCTTTCTCCTACTTACTATCATAAATAACATTCTAATAAAAGTTACAAAAGAAATTGTAAAGAGAAATAAATATAAAAATAAGGTTTTGACAAATTATATTTGTTGACATGAATATTGTCCACTTTTTCCCTAGGCTTGTAATCTCCTAAATATGTCAAAACATTATGCCTATGCTTATAGTAGAAACTATTAAGAAATACTCAAGTCTAATAAATAATTTTTGGTGACAATAATGGCATGAGAAAGCAAAGACCAAAGTTAATGAAAAAAGATTTCAAATAACCCAAACCATGACATATAGACAGTAATTAATAGTTCTAATACAAACAAAATCTTTTACCTAAATTCAAAATAGAGATGTAAATATCTCAAAATGTAACCACTTTCAGTACTTTACATTCAAAACTAAATGTGGAGTTTTTAACACTCCTTAACTATTTTTTTAATTGGAAAACAACAGTCCTCCTTACACTCAAAAGACTTAAGTTATTGTTGACAAAAAAAAAAGATAAAATTTTAGCTTATTTCATTCTTTGGGAACATTTTCAGAAGTTGAGGAAGCAATTTAAAACATCCCATCCTTCAAAGACTTCATTCAAGAAGTCTCTTCAAAGTTCTTTTCTCTTTAAAATTGGAAACAAAGGTAATGGTATAGAATAATGTATGTATTGACTACTTACATGAAAAGGTATCCTGCAATTAAAATGGGGCCCAAGAAATACAATTACAGATAGTCCCCAGTTTAGGATTGTTCAATGTAGGATTTTCCAGCTTTATGATCGTGTCAAAGCAATATACATTCAGTAGAACTTCAGTAGAGTCTTCAAGAAATTACATGAGATATTCAACACTTTATCATAAAATAGTTTTTTTGTTTGATGATTTTGTCCAACTGTAAGCTAATGTAAATGTTCTAAGCACATTTAAGGTAGGCTAGGCTAAGCTATGATGTTCAGTAGGTTAGGTGAATTAAACACATTTTTGATTTAATGATATTCTCAACTTATGACGAGTTTATCAGGCTGTAACCCCATCGTAAGCCAAGGAGCATCTGTACTTAAAATATTTTAAATGTATGCCATGAGCTATATGCACATTCCTGAAATGGTGGGTCTTATCCCATTTTTATACTACTGTTTATTTTTCCTCTCTCCAACACTTTATCTGAAATTTTTTTTTTTTTTTTTTTTTTGTCTTTTTTCGTGACCGGCAACGAA